CAAAATCCCAGAATAAATTTGTCACAGAAAAGAATTTAGGTTTCCAATCTTCTATTGTTTAGCCCATGATTCTTTCAAAATACAGTCTATCTGTCCTGACTGTAAACAATCATGGGGGGTTTCTGTTCAGGATTTTTCTGTAGATTCATGCTGAACAAATAATTAAGCATAGTGCTATCTTTTCACAGCCTCCAAAATCTATTTTAAAGTTCTACCCTCATCAGAACATGACTAGGTTCTACGAGATGAAAAGGTAAGATACAAACAATAATAATATTTGTCATTTATCACTAAGACCAAACTTCACTGACATCATGTATTCATTCATTCCATCACTTTAACATTCGCTTCACAAATATTTATCTTTGTACTATAATACACCAATCACTGCTTTGAATCCTAAAAAGTGCTAGAAAGAATTTCATGGTCCCCATACATATGTGATGCTTAAGGCCTAGAAGAGTAAACACTCATTCATTTTTTTTCATTCAACAAGTATTTATTGGTGATCAAATACTAACAAGTCATTCTGTTACTAGTCGATACTGAAATCTTCTGGAGAATTCTGCTCTTACATGATGCTAAGAGTCTGGCAGGAAATTAATCATCAAATAATCACACAAAAATGCATATAATACACATTCTATCTAATAAAAGAGCAATATACAAATTGACTGCACCTCTGCTACACCCATAAGCCACTCCCACCAGCCAATCAGGAGCAAGTATGCAAATTAATCCAACAAAGATAACTGTGGCCATAAAGAGAACAGGAGGCTTGGGTTTCCCTGGCTTTGAGGAAGTCAAGCTTTTTACCTGCTCTGGCCTCTGCTTAAGGCTACAAAGTTGCAATTATAGAAGATAAATAAACCCCAACAAAAATTACTGCAACTACTTGGCTCTGCTCAAGGATACAAAGTCTCAATAATAAAAGATAAATAAATCCCAGCTACCAGGGCCTCCACTTGGGTTGTCAGGGTGTGTGGCCAGCCTGCAAACCACCACAGGCCCCTCACCCAGGCCACCCCATGCCTCAAGGGAACCCCCACCCTGATCCAGGATAACCTTCAAGGCAAACCAGCTGATCCACACCCATGTACTAGGCCTCTGTCCTATCTAATAAAAGAGTAATATGCAAATTGACTGTTGCTCCAACACACAAGATGGCTGCCCCCAAGTGGTCAAAAATGACTGTCCCTATGTGGACACAAGATAGCCACCACAAGATGGCCAACAGGGGAGGGCAGTTGGGAAGGACCAGGCCTACAAGGGAGGGAAGTTGGAGGTGATGAAGCCTGCAGGGGAGAGCAGTTATAAGTAACCAGGCTGGCAGAGGAGGGAAGTTAGGGGTGACTAGGCCTGCAGGGAAGAACATTTGGGGGTTACCCAGGCCTGCAGGGAATAGCAATTGGGCAGGGGGGGGGCGACCAGGCCTGCAGGGAGGGCAGTTAGGGGTGACCAGGCCTGCAGGGGAGGGAAGTTAGGGATGACCATGCCTGCAGGGCAGGGCAATTAGGGACAAACAGGCTGGCAGGGGAGCAGTTAGGAATCAATTAGGTTGGCAAGGGAGTGGTTAGGGGGTGATCGGGCTAGCAAGCAGAAGCAGTTAGGGGCAATCAGGAAGGCAGACAGGGAAGCAGTTGGGAGCCAGCAGTCCTGGATTGTGAGAGAGATGTCCGAATGCCCATTTAGGCCCAATCCAGGTTCAGATCTAAACGGGCAGTCGGACATCCCTCGAGGGTTCCTAGATTGGAGGGGGTGCAGGCTGGGTTGAGGGACATATTCCCTGTGCACAAATTTTGTGCACTTTGCCTCCAGTTATATATATAGATTAGTGCACTGTGCAATATATGGTAACAAGGTACTTGCCTTGTGAATAAGAAAGATTTCATAAGAACGTTTAAGTTGAGATCTGAAGGGTGAATAGAAATTAGTTAGTTGAGGAAAAAATACTCCTAGAAGAGAGGAAAACAAGCAAGGAATGTTGCCAAAGGAAACATTATTAGAGAACTCAAAGAAGGTCACTGTTAAGAATAGGAGAGAATAGCTTAACGATGATGTTGCAGAGAGACACAATGAAAAGACCATTTGAACTTCAGAGAACACACTAAAAGTGTTGTGTTCATTCCTAAAAGTGAGGGCAATTCTAGAAAATTGTTTAAAAGGGGAGAAAAAAAAAGTAATGGCATGATTCTATTAAAAAAAGAAAGGAAGGAAGGAAGGAAGGAAGGAAGGAAGGAAGGAAGGAAGGAAGGGAGGGAGGGAGGGAGGGAGGGAGGGAGGGAGGGAGGGAGGGAGGGAGGGAGGGAGGGAGGGAGGGAGAAGAAAAGAAAAGAAAAGAAAAGAAAAGAAAAGAAAAGAAAAGAAAAGAAAAGAAAAGAAAAGAAAAGAAAAGAAAAGAAAACATATCTCAACTAGCTATATAGGCAGTGGGTTAAAGAAGGATTGCCATACAGTGTTTCACAAAGTGTGGTACGCGTACCCCCAGGGGTAAGGGAAGAGTTTAGAGTTTGGTGGGGGTACACGTTGCACTGGAGTTTGGTGGGGATATGCACTGCACCTTGCTTAGCTGCGCCTAATTCTACATTCTCATGAGTATGAGGGGTACTCAGCGTTATGAAAATTATAGAAGGGGTACACATATGTCAAAAGTTTGGGAAACACTGGTAGGAGTCCATGAGAGATAATGCCATTTTAAAATTGATAGTAGCAGTAAAGTTGGAAAAATAGATTTAAGAGCAATTCAAGAGGTAAAATTGTAGGACTTAATGATACCCTGGATGTAGAGAAATGCAAATAAGGAGCTCTCTGTTTATGGCTTTCAGGAATAAATTGTGATGGTGATCCCTGTAATAGAAAATATTAGAGAAGGTCTGGGATTCTAAAGGGGGGGCAGGGCAGAGAGACATGAATCCACTTTTTGGAAATGTTGAGTTTGAATTGCTTTTGAGATATCCAAGTGACGATGTCAAGTGAGTAGCTAAACATCTGGACTGGAACTTAAGAGAGAGATGGGAATATAAATCTGGAAGACACTGATACACAAACAGTAACTGAAACTTTGAGTGTAGATAAGAAGTCATAAAGAACTTGAACATTTAGACAGATACAGGCCACTGAGCCACTCCGGTTCCAACTGAGAGCCAGAGCTGGGGCTTAAGGCACTTGAGGGCATTGTTAAGCAGGAACAGAGAAAGGCCCTAAATTATAGGCAAGTGTCAGGTGTCAATGCTGCCAAGAGATCAAATCAGATAAGACGTAAAACATTACAATGCCAAGAGACTGGGACTAAAATAGAATTATGTTGAAAATTCAGTGAAAGCCCAGAAATGGGGCATCTCTTCTCAAAGTAGAAAACAGTTGGTCAAAACAAGTGATTAAGTTTAAGCTGTGTTTGTGGAATCAATAGGAGTATCCCAGGCAAAACAGTTGAGGGATAAAAAGGGCAATATGTAGAGAAAGTATTGCTATTCCTCAAAGAGGAACAAGAAGTCTGCACGGGGGTGATGGATGTCAAAGTTCTATGCCTCACATTCCTTGCTCAGTCATCCCAGTCATTTTCAATTATCTTAGCTTCCACTTCTTAACGGGGCAAAGTAGAACTCCTCACAAAGCACCCTAGCTTCGGTCATTGTCTCCTGAACCCACAAAATCAGAACATGGCAGGTGAGAAACGCAATGTCAACCCAGCAGCAAAAGTCATATAAAGCCTCAGCCTGGGGAAACAAAAGTTGAGAATTTCTAAATGATTATGTAACAGAATGAATATGAAAGTTAAAAATTAGCAAAAAAAAAAAAAAAAAAAAAAAAGATCAAATCAGAATGTACGAAAATTAAATAGAAGGATCTGTGAACATATGAGAAGATAAAGACTAGTGTTCCCTCTCATATATTGGCAGCAGAAGCTTTGCATCATATAACTATGGCCACCTTCTAAGGAAGTGGGAGCAAAGTATCCTTTTAAGAATCCACAAGTGACAAATGCTAAGTTCCAATTTGTAGACTGCAATTTCACATATTGGATACACTGAACTGAGAATACTATAGGAAATGAAAAACTATAGGAAACTTGAACATTAGAATAGTTGACTTAGAGCCACATAGTAAAATTGTGCTTATCTACTAAAATACTAAAATACAAGTTATTATTTTGTTCACAAGATACCAGTAAATCGGGAGTCAATTTTTTTTTTTCTGTAGCCAGTAAAATTCAAAAGAAATTGCTAACCCCTCCGTGTCTCTCCCCTTTGCCATGTTTTAGCATCCATGTAACAATTACATCACTGTTATTACTGGGTGAAATTTAAATTTTAAAGGAAAAGCAAATGTCTCCCTGTGTATTTTCCACATTTACCTGCCATTTCTAGTTGAGAATGCATTAAATCACGTGTATGTGGATACTGTTAGATTGGTTTTCTCTAAAAAACCGGCTTTCAGGAATTACATGGGGATTAAACTTAGGTGTGAAATTGGGGTTTTCTACCATTACTTTCAAGCTTGTTCAAGTGTGTTGAAGCGTAACTACATGGGGGCCAATGAGTGGCATGATGGCTCCTTTCTTCCTACCATGTTTCCCTAACCTTGTATGTTGGCTTCTTTCCTTTTTCTGCCTCACATTCTGGCAAATCCGTCCTCTTTGTTGCGCAGTACACGAGAGGAACTGAAAATGAGGACACCGTCCTTGGCCGACTGCCTAAAACCACAAATGATATTATATAATGCGTCCCTTCCAACGGAAAAACAGATGCAACCATTTCCTTCAGGGGACCTGCAAAGGGCCGCAGGTAGGGGTTTTGCTGGGTCTGCTCCGTAGAGCGGGTCCACATGTTTACAGCAGAGAGATGTTGGGAAACCTTGTCAAGGGTGAGGAAGCCCCGCACCCACCGCAGACTGCTGCAGGGAGGGCCACGGGGTGCAGAGGTGACATAACAGGGTGGGGGAAGGCCCGCTGGCCGGCCGTGTGCAAAAGGGTGGGGACACCCAGGGCCGCGAGGTGGTACCTGCGCGGGGTCGAGCGCCCCTGGCACTGCATCCGCGATCCAGAGATGCTCCCGGAGAAGCTGCTGGTAGCTGAGGCAGTGCTTCACGGCCGAGGGCACATTCCCCATGGCGGGGCCGGGCTGCGGTCTGCGATAGGCGGGAGCCCGGAGAGAGGGATGCGGGGCGGCACCCGCGTTGCGAAAACCTCGCCCGCTCGGGAGCGCGCCCTCCCCGTACGCGCGGCGGGCACCCGCGCAGCTCTGTGCACGGCGGCGGCGCCCTGGAGGCTGTGGGCAGGACGCGCAGCGCCTAGGGCACCGGGTACCGGAGGCACCCGCTGCAGACGACCGCAACACCGGAACCTAAGAGAGGAAGGAACTGAGCCCAAGGTCAGGTGCAGCGCATTTTTCACGCTGCGCTGGGCTAGCACGCAGGGCTGATTGCATCTGCACACGATCCACTGAACTGGCTTCTCACCTGAGTCAGATCGTCCGCAGCGGGAAAGGGGGCTAATAAAAGGAAGAGAGCAGGTGTTGTGCGTTGGTGAGTTGGCTCATTCCCAGCTGCAGCCTTTGGCACTCAGTGTCCAGCATTGGGCTCACTTCGATTTTAAAACATTTCTAGGCAGTTTGCAAGGTTAAAATACATATGCAAGCATCCAATAAAGAAGAAAATAGTGAAGGTGCAAAATTGTTACAGATGACTTGGTAAATTGTCAATAACTTGGTCCTATAAGCACAGCTGAAATGGAATTGCATTGCTTAAAAAGACATATGACACGAAATTATTGAAGCCCTAAAGGCTAAATTCATTCGAACTGAAAATTCTGAAAGAAATCATAAGGCTTTAGAATAGGAATGATCTGGGTAGGGAGGAGGTTGGAAAGATGGTCCTGGACAGACCACCTCCTTGCCTTCGCCCTCTCTCACAAGCACACTTGCACCACCTGGACCCACTCTAAAACTCGAGGTTCACCAGCCTGCAACTGAACAGCCATATTCATCAAGACTAGTCTCATGCAACCACGTGTGCATGGCTAGGGATACCAGTCAGTCCCACCGGTTGTTGCAGCAACTATAAATCAGGAGCTGACTAATGCACACACAGTTGCAAGACCAGATGAACTGGTACAAAGATTACATTGTAAAATGTAGTATAATCCCACTTAGAATTTAGCGCCCAGAATAAACAAACCATCATTACTACTTGTGAGGGTGGTGTGACTACTACTAGCAACAGACATCAGGGTGTAAGGACAAAATAAGACAAAGAAGGGGAGAGGTATCTTGTGGATTCTTTAGTGAAACAGAACTAAAATGGTCCAGGCGGGATTTTATTAGATTGAGGAGATCTTAGACTGCTCACAGCTTTGGCCACAGACTCTGAGCTACCTATCTGAAGTCATGCAACTATAATATTAGAAACTTTTAAAACTCTCTAAAGTGCTAATGGTTCCCATTCTTATTTATTTGGACATGACTTTTATAGGTATATATACATAGGGCTAAATCTCTCGTATATGTTGTTTTCAGCAGAGCTCAACTGTTAATTATTTTCCTATCACAGCTGAAATGCAACATTAATGCCTACTACCATTTTTCTCCCCCTGGTGTAATTCTATAATTACGGAACTCCTCGGTATTTGAAAGAATTTAAAAGGACCCAATTTGAACAACATGAATTTAGCAAAGTAACTGCAATGGAGTCAATCATTCGAAACTTGAAAAATTTTTGACAATTACAGTTCAAATCTAAACTTTGGGAAAATACGACCTCTAAGATAAGCCAAATAATTGTTGTATGCACCTTTGCTACTGAGAAAAAGAACACCTATATATAGACTTTACTGCTTAGTTTTCTGAATATGAAATATTTTCAAAAATCATATCCCATTTAATTTAGCATAGTAGTAGTTTCTTTAAAAAATCTTGTACATTTGAAAATATTTGTTGTCAGTTTTAACTTATATGGAAAAATGTTATAAACTAAAGATTTTAACATATAGTTCTTATAAATACCAAAACCATTTGCAAAAATGAAGACCAAATTTCTTGAGTGTTTAATCATAGAAATAAAAGGGGATGAAAATAGATGCGCCTTTTCTAGAAAGAACAGTTTTATGTTAAATTTCATCAGTAATGTTAAAATGCCTAAATTTTAACAGTTAATATTACTGTACTTCTTGCCTGTGAGTGTTTTTTTTTTCATGATTGAAATGAAAAATTCTCAGTGTGTGTCCTCATTATGGCAGATCTAAAGGGCTCTAGGTGTGGTAGGTAATGCATCTCTCTCCCCCCTGATAGGAGACCTTGGCTCCATCAGAACAGTAATCACTTGTTAAAAATCACGAATTTAGTTGCTGTATTAAAACATTCTTACCATTTGGTCACTAAAATCAAACTTCCATATCCTGACCTGCACTCCATATTACTCTCCCTGCATCATAGGACTTGTATTTGTTTTCTATGGCATTTCAATCATTCAAATAGAGGACGACACAAAAATTCGTTGCAAATTAAAAGGAACTAGATTTCCTGTTTTCTCTAGTGACTTTAACTCACTTTTAAGTTATGGGCAAAACATTTTCTTTTACCTGTCTGTCTTGAATTGTTCTCAACTCCCTTCTCTCTTTAACTGTGCACCCCAAATCCAATCTGTCAACCAGAAATGTTAAACATCTTGAATCCATCTGCTGTCTCTCTGTTCTGCTGTTGACTTCTCTCTGCTGCACTTCTTTCCCCTTTGAAAGGCACTGCCACAGAGCAGTGGTGATTTTGGATTATCTGGAAGGGGAGCCTGAACTCTTTTGATTTTATTGTTCAGCTATAGTTTACATTTAATACCAATTTGTATTGATCTCAGATATAATATTTACCACAGTTCTAACCCGTAAATGTTCCTATGGTTATTGTATTGGCACATATTATTTCAAAACATTCTGGAGTTCCTGTTCCTTCTGGGAAAGTGAAAGTAGGAGCCAAGATATGCTGAGCTGAACTAAGAACATTAAATTTATCCCAGAGAAACTGAAGATCTTACAACATGGTTCTCATATCTTTTTATATATATATATATATATATATATATATATATATATATATATATATATTTTATTGATTTTCTCTCTTACAGAGAGAAAAGGTGAGGGATAGAGAGTTAGAAACATCAATGAGAGAGAAACATCGACCAGTTGCCTCTTGCACACCTCCTACTGGGGATGTGCCCGCAACCAAGGTACATGCCCTTGACCGCATTGGAACCTGGGACCCTTCAGTCCACAGGCTGACACTCTATCCACTGAGCCAAACCGGTTTCAGCCTCATATCTTAATTGATCCATATGAAATAAAACTAAACTGAAGTCACATATTCTTCACACCCAGTTCCATCGTGTCCCCTCCCTCCTCTCCATATGAAATGATGACAATAGATTATAGAGTTGTGCTTTTCTCATATCCTAATCAAAGGCTCTCAAAAACAGAACAGGGAAGGGTTTGTATTCCAGGAAGCAGTCAATCCCAAACCAAGGTAGATTGACAATACCAACCCCCTCAAGTGCCAAGTCCTTGAGGGAGAAGGGTCCAGTTAAAGCAGCTTATCTACAGAATCCCTTTGTTCCCAAAGATGATTATTTAAGAGTCTGCATGATGGCAACATGGATAGAATCAGAAGCAAATGAAAGAAGTTAAATTGTAGTAATAGTAAGTGCCAAACTGGCATGTAGTCAAAGTACCTACTGGGCAGGGATCAAAGACACATATGGTGAGTCTCAAACAATGATGTCATAGAACTTTGGCAAGTATCGCGGGAGTAATAGGCTCCAGCCTTAAACAATACAAAAGAAAGAACGGAAACAACTTGGTTACCAATCCCGGATGATATCTATGGGGAAGTAAAGCTTTCATCATCTCAGTTTTATTGCTGAAAAATTTAGAAAGCTTCTCCCAGACGTTATGTCTAGTTGATCTGAATTGATGGGAAGGATAACAAGAGTGTTTTAAAACATTCTTGGCATTTGGTCACTAAAATCAAACTTCCATTAACAATAACATTGTCGTGAAATAGAGCATTTTTTTGAGAATAAGTAATGATCTATTTTACCAGAGTAACACCCCATCCCAGGTTATGGATACCTGGCACTAGATACAGAAATCAGAACAAAACTGCAGACCACATTTCTCCAGATGTAAAAGCCTACTTATTCTTTTACTAACTCAGAAGACTCCAAAAACATTAGCTTTGCCAAAATTATTATATAATAAAAGATACAGACACCACTGATATTAGTTTATTAGATGGCTGCAGTGTACATAATTTTTGCCAACACTTATAAAAGTATCTTTTAATTCCATTGCCTACAGGCTCAGACTCCATTTGGAAAATGTTTATATCAATCAGTTGACATACTTTGAGGTGTTGCAGTAAACAGACACTAGCAGGTAAGTTATATTAACTCTTGCCCATGGACAGTATCATTCTTTGAATCTGGATCAAGTACCATTGTGTGAGAAGACAAGTCAATGCTGACTACAATTGCAAAGCACTTTGTGTTTTGTACGGCACATAGTCAGTGCTTAATAAATCTTAGCTTTCTTTTTCCTCTTATTGAATCATATCAGTTCACTGTTAAGATGTATTTGACCTTATCACAGTTAAAGAGAATCTGTAAAACCCAAATTTAATACTTCTATCGAACATTAGTTTAATCCACCAAAGTATTTTATGTGCTTTTTAAATCCAATACTCAATAACTAATGGAAAAATAAATATAAACAGAGTTGTAAGATATGCCTTTTTGACTTTAAAGATCTCACATTCAAATAGCAATATCAGATGAAAACTAGTTAGAAATATTAGGTGGTGCAGATATAATTTAATCAGATAAATGTAAGAAATTAAATTTTAAAATTGTATAATCTTGATGAAAAAAATTATAGCAGGGTTTACATATTCATCAAATGCTTGTTGAGTAATTAATTGCATATAATTACTATTAGATAGGACACTATATGACTCTGTGGGGAGTAATAGTGAACAAGGTAGTCTTTAACACAAAAATAATACTTTGATTTGCTAGTGAAATACGATGCTGCTCAATTATCCACATGAGAGCAGTATGTTGATGAGTG